AGCGCCATCCCAAGTCAGGGTACAAGGACCCCAGAAGTTCAAAGGACCAACATGCAGATCAGAGGGACCAAGGACAAGCCAAGGCAGTAGGGTATCGTCAAGAGAAAAGCCTCCCTTGTCGGGCAGGCGAGCCCAGCAAGGAGCAAGGCCACCCCCTGAAGTAGACAACCAGGGCACCTCGGCAGGGCCTGCCGAGGCTCATGAAGGCAGAGCTACCTCACCAACGGCTCCAACACGACCCACATCGTCAATTAGGGAGGTGTTGAGTCGCAAAGTAATTAAGTGGCACCCATTCGCCACATGGCAGCCATTTCCTACAGAAGAAACCCACAGATGACACATGTCCTGTGACGTGTCAAGAGAACATGCATGGAGCTAGCAAGATAGCCCGGCAAGTCTTGCCGGGCAACCAACGATATGACCTTAAGCGGTGCATTAAATGCGCCCTATCAGCCCGCAGAGTTAGGTATGATAGCACTGTTTTCTATCTTATTAGTGCGTAATGACTACTTTCCCACTGTGGTTACCCCTTGATCTATAAAAGGAAGCCCATGGCAAGCCTAGAGAGGGTTAGAAGGTCGGACAACTCACAACCCCATACACGCGTAGTCGCTGCTACCTGAGGCAACCCCTATCGGGAAAGTGTACTACGACCACCACCACCTTTTCCACTATCAATCCACCAAAGAAGGAGTAGGGTTTTACGCTTCGTGGCGGCCCGAACCTGGGTAAATTGCCTGTGTGACCTCTGCCGCGCTGCCCCATGCTTGTCTTCTCTTTGTGCAACGCGTCACCCCCCTGCCGAACCAGCAAGGGACCTCCTAGTCCCATAGGTGGCCGTGGTTTCCCACGAGAGACGCCTTCTAGCTAAAGTTGACTCATCTACAGTCCAATCTTTATCAAGATTTGTATTAGAAAACAAATATTCAATAGGAGTCACAACAATCACTTCAAGATCTTCATCATTCTTCTCACACGACTCGGGTTTGGCGGCCATCTTATTTACCATAGTTTGCTTATCCAAAATTTGGCCTACTAAAATTTCAAGATGAGCAAATTGAGATTTAAGACCATAAAATTCGTTAGTAACATCGTCAAGCTCTTTATTAATATACTCCATTAGAGTTTTTTGCTCTTTAATTCGTTTCTAAAGAAACTATGCTCAAACTATAAGGACATGAAACTTTTAGCATTGTTTTCAATTTCTTCCAACTTCCTAAAGTAAGGATCAAAGCTCTTGGGTTGAGCCATAAGGGCAAATGAGCAAAATAAAAGATGAATGGAAGAAGGTCGAATAAAAAAGGAAAATATTTTTGTGTTTTTCTGAAAATGTTTTAGAAGTGGGGGAGAGGAAAATGAGAGGCAAATGGCAAATAATGTAATGCAAGAAATGACAGTTTATGGTGGGCATTTGGTAGGCTTGATGTCGAACCTCCCCGGCAATGGTGCCAGAAATTCTTCCTGCTACTTCTTGAGCTTGCATTGGTTTTTCCCTTGAAGAGGAAAGTGATGTAGCAAAGTAGAGATAAGTATTTCCCTTAGTTTTGAGAACCACGGTATCAATCTAGTAGGAGGTACACGCAAGTCTCCTATCTATCCACCAGCACAAACAATCAAACACTTACACCCAATGCGATAAAGGGGTTGTCAATCCCTCCATGGTCACTTGCAAGGATGAGATCTAGTAGAGATAGATATAAAAGATTACTAAAGCGTAAAACAAAACAAAAGTGAATAAATTGCAGAAAGGTATTTTTGGGTTTTTCGGTTTGTAGATATGAAAATATATGATGGAAAATAGATTCAGGGGCCATAGGTTTCACTAGAGGCTTCTCTCTTGAAGGAAATAATACGGTGGGTGAACAAATTACTATCGAGCAATTGATAGAAAGGCGCAAAGTTAAGACAATATCCAAGGCAATGATTATGAATATAGGCATCACGTTCGTGTCAAGTAGACCGACTCCTGCCTACATCTACTACTATTACTCCACACATCGACCGCTATCTAGCATGCACCTAGAGTATTAAGTTCATAAGAACGGAGTAACACCTTAATTAAGATGACATGATGTAGAGGGATAAACTCAAGCAATATGATGAAAACCCTATCTTTTTACCCCGATGGCAACAATCCAATACATGTCTTGCCACCCCTACTTTGTCACTGGGTGAGGACACTGCAAGATTGAACCGCAAGAATATTACACCGGATAGAGCTCCAAGAACATCAAGGAGAACATTATATTGATGATCAAAGAGAGAGAAGAAGCCATCTAGCTACTAGCTATGGACCCGTATGTCTATGGTAAACTACTCATGCTTCATCGGAAGGGCAATAGAGTTGATGTAGGTGACGTCCGTAATTGAATCCCCCTCTGGCAGGATGCCGAAAAAGGCCCCAAGATGGGATCTCACGGAAACAGAGGCTTGCGATAGCGGAAAAGTATTTTGGTGGATGCTTCTGGTCATTTGGAAATATTTGGGAATTTATAGCGAAAGAATTAGGGTTGGAGGAGTCCCGTGGGGCCCACAAGCAAGAGGGCGCGCCCACCTAGGGCATGCCCTTAGGGCTTGTCGAGACCCTGGGACTCTTCTGGCCCCCTCTCCAAGTCTGCTAGGTTTCTTCTGGTCCAAGAAAAATCATCACGAAAGTTTTATTCCGTTCAGACTCTATTTGATATTCCTTTTCTGTAAAAATCAAAAACAAGGAAAAAATAGAAGCTAGGACTGGGCTCTAGGTTTATAAGTTAGTCCCAAAAATAATATGAAATAGCATATTAATGCATATAAAACTTCCAAAACAGGTAATATAATAGCACGGAACAATAAAAAATTATAGATACGTTGGAGACATATCATCTGGCTCGAGGCTTGAGCTCTGGGTGCCTTCTGGAGCTGTAGCCAGATGATCCGTGTTGGTTTGATTGTCCGTGTAGGTGGTCGGGTGTCGTGGATATAATCTTCTAAATGTAGAGACAAATGTATCTAGAAGACGATGTGGTTGGGAGTACGCTCAAGGATTTATACAGGTGTGGGCCCTCTTCATTGGAGGTAATACCCTACTCCTATGGTGCTCGTTCTTCTTGGCATAAGGTACAATATGAGTGTCTTCAACCTTCAGCCCCGGGCTTCCCTAGTTGTAAATATAGAGTGCGCCTGGTAGGGGTACATAACATACTACTATTAATGCTATTCATTGCCTCAGGTGTGGCCGACTGTTTCATGGCATTTACTATAGGTAACTACCGTATTTAACTAAATTATTCAACTGTTGGGTAACTACCACTATTAATACATCATGGTCGAGAGGTATCCTAGGTATCTGCCGACTGATGACATAGACGATTGCTACCTTCGTCTCCGGCCGAGTGCCTAGTGGTCCACAATTGAGGGCCTGGTATCCAACTATTGGGACTTAGTGCGGTCTCATACCACCCTCATTTTCCTTGATGGGCCAGCGGCTGAGCCCCTTGGCCAACTACCTTCTAGGAATATTTTATATGAGTCTTGGGCCCTGGTGGGCCACTCGTGTACATGGGCCTACCCCATATTTATAACCCCAAAAGTAGCCCCTGAGTCGGTCAAGGTTTCGCTGGAGAACTACTGGTTGTTTCCTTCCAGCAAGACATGTGACTGATCAACGAGCTTGAGGTTTGAATGAGAGACCTCGGCGGACTCACTTGGTTCTTGCCCTCAGATGTCACAGCGGCGACCAACTAGGAAGAAGACTCAGTGATCCCCATTTTCCATGTCTTTTTGAAGAGGACAGCTTGTCACCCGACTGAGGGCGTATCATCGAATTTTGAGTGTATGTCTAAGGCTTCCAGGCTTGATCGACTCAAGCATCACTAGTCAATATCCTGCGGAAGGAACGCCTATCGAAGGCCCTTCTACAGAACCAAGTCTGTGCAACTGGATATTCGGTTCCCTCAGAGGGGGATCCGACTCGTGCCATGGGGGATATCTGGGGCGCCCCTTGCTCTTACGTAGAGCGAATCTACGATGAGTGTTGATTCACTTGGTTTTCTCTGGGTGGTAGACACTCGGTAATCATCATGGCTCGAACACAGATGCTGGCCCAATTGGACAAGTTAGTTTGTAGTTCTCAGCCGACTAGAACGGGAGTCACCAGCCGACTGGTAGATGAGTCATCCGCCGGCTTGAAGGTAAGTCGTCAGCCGACTGGAAGGCGAGTCATCAGCAATCATCATTGCGGATCTCCATGAGTTGTCCTATCAATATATTTTGCATGTTTGACAAGTTGCTGTATGCTACTTGTGAGCTGCATTGGGATTTTCCAGGAAGGGCGAAGCAATATATTAGCTGATAAGTATTTCCCTCAGTGAGAACCAAGGTTATTGAACCAACAGGAGAATCACGCAAATCCTACTAAATAGTACCTACACACACAAGAGCAAATACTTGCACCCAATGCAGGCAAGAGGGTTGTCAATCCCCTTGAACTCGTTACTTGCAAGGATCAAATCTGATAGTTAAAGATAGATAAATTGCAAAGTAAAATAAAAGACAGAAAATTGTAGCAAGGTAATTTAGGTTTTTGTAATATTTAAAACTATAAAGAGGCTAGCCAACTCACCTCCACAAGGCTCCCCCGATTGGAGCTTCGTCGGCCGTCGGATCTGCCTTTCTGGCGCGCCTGAGCCGTTGGATCTTCACAGAAGTTAAAATCAATTTTCACCTCGCGGTCGTTTTTGTTGTCCAATGACTGGTGGGCTCGCGCCGCACGCTGGTTGGCTGGGTTACCAGTTTTGAGGTGCAACTGGTTTTGCCCAATCAGCTTTGCGCGCCCGCACCCAATCACCTGTGTCTCACCCCACTCCCACCCCAGCCGCCAAACGAACCCTAGCCCTCTTTCTCCTTCCCCTCGATCCCGACGAGCTGCCGCACCCCTCCCTCGATCCCCAGTTCCCCATGATCCTCTCCTTGCCCGCAGCCACCGGCCTTGTCTCTCCACTCGCCTCCTCCTTTCCTCTACCATGTCGTCGTCGATCCCACCGCTGGCCTTTTCCTCTGCTTGCCTCCTCCGGTCCTCTTCCATGTCACCGTTGATCCAGATCGGACCCTCTCCTTGCGCGCCCCATGTTCCTCCTTCCAGCCGATTGGGCACAGCCGCACCAACCCTAGCCCCCGATGCAGCCATCCACTCCTCCCTCCTCCTCTCCCCTCCCCCTCCCACAGCCACCGCACCCGTCGCTTGGCCCCCTGGCGACGCCCGGGTCGGGGCTGGGAAGAAGGTCCGGGCCTGCGAGGGAAAGCAGCGAGGGTTGGTGCAGCAGCAAATACGGGCGGGATTTGCATGGAGGGAGGCTCGTCAGCTGGAACAACAGGAGCAAGGAGGTCGTGCCGGCGCGAATGCTGGCGGGGTCGGCCGTGGAAGAAGGCTCGCTGGACGGAGCATCAATAGCAGGGAAGTCGAGGTGGTTCAGGTTTGCCTCTATCTCCTCCCCACTCTATCTCTGCCCTCTCTCTTATTTTCCCCTTTGTCTCGTGGATAAGGGCGTCAGTGCACCACGAGGAGTAGATCAAGCGTGGACCATAGCAGCACGATCAAGGAGCTGCTGGTGGTTCTGGCAACAACGAGGATGATCAAGAAGGATTGGGGAACACCCGCAAAAAAAGTACTTGGGAAGAAGGGCGGGACGAAGGCATGGAGATCGTTGTTTGGCGCTAACGTGTGTTTGGTGTTGATTGCTGGCTGGATGACTGCGGTGTGCTACCGGTGATGAGATCCAGGAGGAGGTGGCGGCGGACAGGGAGTCGAGGTAGGGATGAACTGCCGATTAAGATGCAAAGCTGCTGTTTTTATCATGTTGTTCTTATCCTGCTCACTGTGATATTTGTTGAAAATATTTGCACTGTGGTTTGGTTAAGATATAGAGCTACTACTTTTATTCTGCATTACCTCGTGGGTCTCATTATATGGATTAAGTACAAGGCATCTGTGGTTCAAAAGTTTTTAGTAACTTGTGTTTATCTTTACTGTCTGGTGTCGAATTGACCGATTAGTCGGTTGAATTGATTGTAAATGATTGCCCAATGTGGTTATCTGAAGATTGTAGTTTACCATATATGCTTACTACAAAATGCTTATTTCGCTTCACATATAAGGCTGTAACAGGATGCATTTCTCTCACCTTATTTCTGCAGGACCTTTTTGCTTGCATTCTTGTGTCTTTTGACAAGGAGAAAATTATCATTTGGAGGGGAAAAGATAGATGAAAACATGCAAGATAGTATACGCAATTGACATACCCTTCAATTCTTGAATCAGAGTTCAGTGGTGAAGAACACTACAATTTTTTGGTTGATGGATTGGTCTGAATATATTGTAAGGGATTTTGCATGAAGTGGTTATTCAAAGAATGGAACCAATTTTATCGTGAGTCTCTCTTGTAGGATTCTACTAATGTTTGTTTAGCTTGAAGGATGTTACATGACGTTTTTCTCTTCCCCCTGTGTATGACTTTTTCCTTACATTCCCGTATGTTTTGACAAAGAGAAAATATTATTTGCAGTGAAAAATACTATGATCAAAGCATACATGGTAGTAGCCTGAAATATTATTTGTTGCCTTAGTTATAATGATCTATATGAGGAATTTCTTCCTAATATGTATGCGTACATTTCTTTTGTTATAGATTTTACTGAATGGATATGGTATAACCTCCATGATATTTGAGTGGACTAGAATCAAGACGCCCTGAGAATTTTACCCTTCGATGAACAATGCAAGGTTTCTTTTGCGCCAAATTTGAATCCTAATAGGAATTCAACAGGAATTTAAAATTCTTAGTTGATGATTCGTTTCAGAATACAATGAGGCTAGATTATTTTCATAAAATGCCTGCTAAAATCATCCTTCAGTCATTTTTTACTACTCTTGTTTGGTTGTTTAATGCTGAGTAATCAAATATATTCCATGAAGTGCTTCTTGGTATTTTACAACTGTTTACTCTGAATTCTGTTCTTCATGCCTTCAGACAATTTTCAGGTTGCTTTTCCACGATTTCAAATAACTTATACCGCGCTCGGGGCGTATATAGATCTAGCACAGACGAGATGTGTCTCTTGAAGACACGAAAAATGATAATACTAACAAGATTGTTTTTAATAATGCCAGTACTGCTCCATAAAATAAACATAGAACTACAAAGCTCGTGTTCACTCCTGCAAAAAAATTTCGTAACAATTAATTCTGCTGTAGTTGTAGATGTACATCCTTTATTCTCGCAATAGTTAATTCTAAGGCCATTCATATTGTTGCAGATTTTGCCTATTCTCTAAGATGGATGATGATGAGTGGTGCAACCGAAAATTCAGAGCTGGGCTTTACACAATTCAGTGGGTAAGTGAAGTTCCAGTTTTTCTTCTGCACCCTATTACTGCTCTGTTGTACAGAGAGCAGTGAGTTTATATTAGCTAAATGTTAGATTAGAATGCAGCAAATGAAACCGGTATACCTTTTGCTCGAGTGCAGGTCCTGTGTGGTGGGGCTAGTGGTGTGGCCAGTGAAGTATGGGTACAGTTTGCTGGAGTCGGTCCTACGTTTTGTGTCACTGGTTGTACAGCCAATATAAGTGGGGTGTTGTCTGATTTCTCCGGCATCACCACGTTTTTCAAGGACTTTGCTGGTGCTCCTTCAGGTTCGGCAATCACCCTCTTCCTTTTTGATGTCTGATGCACAAGAACAACATTTGAGTGGAAAACATGGTATGATGACAGATGGAATATGTATTGATAATGGATGGGCATGGCATCTCGACATATATGATGAGTAAACTAAGCAGATGGCGGTGCAACAAAGTAGAAGAAATGCAAGACAACATATGCAAGATACCCGTAATCAATAAAACATTGCCAAATTAGAACAGGAACCTTGATGGGTGAACAGGACAGGCCATCTGCCTTTGACTCCTCGAGGTTAGAATAGTCATTAGGATCATATTTTGAATAAGAATCAACAGGTTGGGAGCGTATGAGTTTCATTACATCCAGAATGGCACTCAATGCCTTGGTGCCAATTTTGTAAGTCATTGCAGTGTTTAGCTTCAAGAGTGGACTGCTGCTAGTGCGACACAAAGCAGCTACACAGATCATAGTTTAGATATAACGGGAAAACCTTAAGCATCAGAGTAAAATCAGCAAAGTGGAACTTGCTGGAATATATGTGCTAGTATTTCTGGTACGGCTAGAAAGGCTTCGGGTACCAGCTCTCTTCAAGTGAAGGTGCAGTACAGTTAATATCAATGTAACTCTCAAAGGCAACACAGCTCCCCGCATTTTCTTGCCATTCTTATAGGATTCAACTGGACAAGCCACTACAAATCCTATTCCTATGTTTATAAGATCCTACGAATCAAAGAGGCTCAAAGTGTCCATCACAACCGACCATATAGACCTCTACACTGCAAATGTCCCTGCACATCTTCAGTACAAGGAACATACTATACTACTATCATACTCCCTTCATTCCAAAATATAAGTCTTGGTAGAGATTTCCACTATGGATCACATACAGATGTATCCAGGTACATTTTAGAGTGTAGATTCACTCATTTTGCTCCATATGTAGTCGATGGTGGAATCTATATAAAGACTTGTATTTAGGAACGGAGAGAGTACATATTAAAGAAGAACGGAAGAGGAACATGGTAAAGAAGAGCAAGCAGATTTTGGATAATAAAATGTTGGTTGCGTAGTGCCCACACATGATGAACCAGAGCGCATTAAGAATGCAACTCCTACCTGTCTCTCGACCATTTGAGGTGGTTGGATGAAGATCCTATGTCTCCTAACCCTTCTTCTTCCTCGTCTGTGACGCCCCCACTTAATCGTACACTAATCATACACGCAAACGTGTACGATCAAGATCAGGGACTCACGGGAAGATATCACAACACAACTCTACAAATAAAATAAGTCATACAAGCATCATAATACAAACCAGGGGCCTCGAGGGCTCGAATACAAGTGCTCGATCATAGACGAGTCAGCGGAAGCAACAATATCTGAGTACAGACATAAGTTAAACAAGTTTGCCTTAAGAAGGCTAACACAAACTGGGATACAGATCGAAGGAGGCGCAGGCCTCCTGCCTGGGATCCTCCTAAACTACTCATGGTCGTCGTCAGCAGCCTGCACGTAGTAGTAGGCACCTCCAGTGTAGTAGGAATCATCGTCGACGATGGCGTCTGGCTCCAGGGCTCCAGCATCTGGTTGCGACAACCAGGTAGAAGGGAAAGGGGAAAAGAGGGAGAAAAGCAACCGTGAGTACTCATCCAAAGTACTCGCAAGCAAGGAGCTACCCTACATATGCATGGGTATATGTGTAAAGGGCCATATCGGTGGACTGAACTGCAGAATGCCAGAATAAAAGGGGGATAGCTAATCCTGTCGAAGACTACGCTTCTGGCAGCCTCCATCTTGCAGCATGTAGAAGAGAGTAGATTGAAGTCCTCCAAGTAGCATCTCCAAGTAGCATCTCCAAGTAGCATCTCCAAGTAGCATCTCCAGTCGCATCTCCAGTCGTATCGCATAGCATAATCCTACCCGGCGATCCTCCCATCGTCGCCCTGTGGAAAAGCGATCACCGGGTTGTCTGTGGAACTTGGAAGGGTGTGTTCTATTAAGTATCCGATTCTAGTTGTCATAAGGTCAAGGTACAACTCCAAGTCGTCCTGTTACCGAAGATCACGGCTATTCGAATAGATTAACTTCCCTGCAGGGGTGCACCAACTTACCCAACACGCTTGATCCCATTTGGCCGGACACACTTCCCTGGGTCATGCCCGGCCGCGGAAGATCAACACGTCGCAGCCCCACCTAGGCTCAACAGAGAGGTCAGCACGCCGGTCTAAACCTAGGCGCCCAGGGGTCCGGGCCCATCACCCTGAACACACCTGCACATTGCGAGGGCGGCCGAAAGCAGACCTAGCCTAGTGGCATTCCAGTCCAATTCGGCGTGCACTGCTCAGTCGCTGACGTCACGAAGTGCTTCGGCTGATACCACGACGCCGAGTGCCCATATCTTTCCCACGTAGTTGGTTAGTGCGTATAGGCTCGTAGCCAACTCAGATCAAATTCCAAGATCTCGTTAAGCGTGTTAAATATCCGCGAACGCCGAACAGGGCCAGGCCCACCTCTCTCCTAGGCGGTCTCAACCTGCCCTGTCGCTCCGCCACAAAGATCCACTCGTGGGTGCTCCACCAGCCAACCCGTGTTTGGTCACCACATGTATCATGTACAACGTATATAGTATATACCCGTGATCACCTCCCGAGTGATCACGGCCCGATAGTATAGCACAGCAGACGGACAAGAATGTAGGGCCACAGATGAAAATACTAGCATCCTATACTAAGCATATAGGATTGCAGGTAAAGGTAACAACAGTAGTAACAAGGACATGCTATGCATCAGGATAGGTATAACAGAAAGCAGTAACATGCTACACTACTCTAATGCAAGAAGTATAGAGTAGAATAGGCGATATCTGGTGATCAAGGGGGGGGGGCTTGCCTGGTTGCTCTGGCAAGAGAGAGGGGTCGTCAACTCCGTAGTCGAACTAGGCAGCAGCATCGTCGGTCTCGTAGTCTACCGGAGAGAAGAGGGGGAAGCAACAATGAATACCATGTAAACAGATGCATATCGATGCATGACAAGACAAGTAACGATGCTAGGCGTGCCCTAACGTGGTATGAGGTGGTACCGGTTAAGGGGGGAAACATCCGGGAAAGTATTCCCAGTGTTCCGTGTTTTCTGACAGATGAACCGGAGGGGGAAAGTTGCGGGTTTGATATGTTAGGGGTGTGTGGACGAACGGGCTGCGTATCTGGGTTCGTCTCGTCGTTTTGAGCAACTTTCATGTTGAAAATATTTTAATCCGGGTTACGAATTAAAAGATATGATTTTCTAAAGATTTTATTAATTTCTGGAATTCAATTAATTATTTAATCCAACATTATACAGAATAGTAAATGATGACGTCAGCATGACATCAGAGTGATGTCAGCAGTCAACGTTGACCATTGACCTGGTCAACCTGACGTGTGGGTCCAGTGGGACCCACCTATCATTCTCTGTTTAGGTTAATTATAGATTAGTTAATTTAATTAGTGATTAGGTTAATCTAATCAGGATTAATTAACTTAATTAATTACTTAATTAATTAATTAATTAATATTTTAATTATTTTAGTTATTATTTTTTATTATTATTATATTTTTTCTAAAGCGTTCCAGGGCGGGCCCCCACTGTCATTGGGCCACAGGGGGCCATAATGGGTGTGGGCGCATGGGCGCACGGGTGCAAGGGGCTACGGGGCGCCCGTTAGCGGACGAGCCCCTGACCCAGCGCAGCAGGGTGCCGGCCTGGGAAGACGCCGGCCGCAGCGGCCGGAGCCGGGGCGTCGACGGAGAGGGGCGGGGGAGCACGGGGCCACCGCAGCAGCGGGGCACCGGCTGAGGCGG